ACACCTGCTCCCAGTTTCCTCATTAGCCCCCTCTTTGTCTCAGTCTCATTTAAAAAGCCCCTCTGTTCAGTTCCCCTTTGCTGGGTCCTCGTCAAACACTGTCTACATGCTCCAACTCCTTCTCTCTGTGCCTTCCTCGTTATGTTTGTGATTCCCCTGATGTCCCCACGGTTTCTGGTACGTTAGACTTATTTTCATGTTTTTGATTTTTGGACTTCTGGTTTCATGTTTGTTTGACCTTTGTTTTCCTTTTGGATTTTTGGATAACCAGCCTCTGGTTTTTGTTAAGTCATTATTAAATCCACAACAGATTCACCTCTGCCTCTCTGCCTCTGCTTTTGGGTCAACAAACCATTGTCAAATCGTGACACATTGCAATATGCCATATTTGTTTTTAAAACCTAATGTGTGTTAAGGACCTCCTGACTAACTCCTGACTAAATCAGGAAATAAAACAGCATGATTGGCTGTAAGGAGAGAGAGAGGACACTGATCTGAGTTTACTGAACAAAACCCTCTCCCGACCAGGTTAGCACTGAGGAGAATGTTACTATGGCAACAGAGACAGATGTTGAGTAAACCCTCTTTGTAAAACAGAAAAATAAGAGTTTCTCTTGTTTCAGGTTTGGAAAACTTTGAGTTTTCTGAAAACATGCTTATTGAAATGGACTACTGTTCAAATCTGAGACACAGAACCTGTCTCCTTCCTGACCCGGACAGAATGATGGCTGTGAACTTTGTTATTTCCAATGATAAAGATGCTGTCTGTGTGCAGTGGTTAGTGCGCATGACCCATGTACGGCGGCCTTAGTCCTCGATGCGGCCAACCCGGGTTTGAATCCAACCGATGGTTCTTTGCCACATGTCTCTCCCCCTCTCGCATATCCCTTTCCTGTCAACCTGCTGTTGAAAAAATGAGCCACTAGTGCCGCAAAGAATAAAAAAAAAAAAAAGAGATGCTGTCTGTTCTGCCTCTGCTATGTTTTCACACAGAGTTACAATGCTTAGTATCCGAAGAAAGAAGGGAATATTTTACAACATAAATGAGAATATAAACAGACGGACTCTAATGTCAACATTATCGATCCAACCAGACTGTTGGACACTAAAGAAAGGAACTCCTGGATTTTTTTTAGGCATTCTTTCGTTCCTGTTCAAGATTACATTTTCAAATTTGATTGTGGGTGTTAGCGAAAACATAACATAAAAAATTAAATAAGCAAACCTCAGATGGTACTAAAAAAAGAAAACATTTCTAATATTCAGGAGATATTTGGTACCAAAGAGACATTATAATTGGCTTTATAAGCCAAAATGGGAAAGAACAGGAACTGAGAGAGGAATAATGGTTTCACAAATCCCAATTTCCTAACTTGGTCTAAGGCCATGGAGCAAGAAACCTTTTTTGGCAGAGGTCTGAAACCAAACTTAAGTTTCTCAGCTATTTTAAAGCTTTGTGTCGACATATAGTGTGATTTCTTTCCCTGGGGCAGCAGTTCATCAGGAGTTGTCCCAGACAAAAAAAAGTCTGTGAGATTAGTAATCAGATCAAGGGGACAGTGATGGGTGTTCTCATTTCGAGGAGCAGATGAGCAGTCATGAAGTGTTGCTAGAAAAGGTTTTACAAATTTTTTTGTTTTTTTTTTAGAACTTAAGAAAAACTCATTGCCAAAGGATGTGCTACTCTCCATTCTGATCCAAAATGTCCTCACCATACAGACATAAAAACAGCTACAGCTCCTCAACCTTCCATAGTTTAATGGTAGTTTTTGTCCTGAGATATTAAATCCATTTTCCTAAAAAAATGGAAGCAGTGCAGCAAAGATGGCAACATTATGCTTCATGGATGTTTTCCTTCAGCACTAACAGGAAGATGGTCAGAGTTAAAATGAAGATGGATTTAGCCAAGCAAAGTTCAACCCTAGAAGAGAACCGATTAGAGGCTGTGAAAGACTTGGTTCTTTTTCTGCCGGAGCGATCCATAAGCATACATCTAAAGCTAAAATGAAGTGGTTTAGATGAAGGCATATAGGTGAGTTAAACTCTCCCAGTCAATGGTGCAGACCTAAATCCAAATAGAAATTTGTGGTAATACTTGAAAATCAAAGTTCAGAGGCTCCACAGCTGGTTTCTAAATGGGTAAAACTGCAGAAGTGCAAAACTAAATACCTCAAAAGACTTCTTTCACAGCAGAAACTGAAGATTTGCTTTAGAAGGGCTGAATACTTGTTTAACAAACTGAGAAGTGTTCAATATAACAGACTTAATTTGATCAGTAAGCACTGCGTGTCAATATTGTTCTCCATGTTCCACCCAGGTGCCAGCCTCCATGTGGCCGACAGTCGCTACTTTTGGTTCCATCACAGCGAGGGAGACACCATGACAGTCCAGAACCCTCGCGACATGGACCTCTGCTCAGCATTGTGGGCTGTGGTTTCCTATGTCATAGCTGACCTACAGGACATGCTGCCGAGATAGCGCTAAGGTTCATCAAGTGCTTATCACGATCTCAACCAGTTTTACTGATTTCAGTTTCTGCTGTAAACATCAAGAACTGACTGTTTAGGTGAATGAGGGAACATAAAGCCTGATGCACATTATGGAAACATTAAAAAAACTACTTGAAGCTGTTTAAATGTTCAAACTATACAAATAAATCCTCGCCCCATTGTTATTGCTCTTTCATTTAGATACACTTTTCCAAAATATCTTTTCCAACTCTGTTCCTTTTTTTGTTTTTATGAAGAAATGTCTTCTTCCTAAAGGAGTGGCCTTTCAGCCCATGTTGGTACTGTCATAGTTCTGGTTCTGTTATATTTTCTTTTGAGTTTTCAGTTTTACTTTGCTCCATGTTTTCTTGTTTTAGTGGTTTTATTCTTATTTTGTTGTGTTTTCTGGTTGTTTTCAGGTTTTTATTTGTTGCCCTCTGCTGCCCTCTTGTGCTCTCCTCTTTCTCTAGTTCTTTTCAATTCTGCTCTGTTCACACCTGCTCCCAATCTGCTCGTTAGTCCTCTTTTTGTTTCAGTCTCCCATAAATACACCCTCTGTTCAGTTCCTCAGTGCTGGTTTCTTGTCTAACTTCCTCCAACTCCGTCTCTCTGAGTCTTTCTCCTCAAGATGGTTTCCCCCAGATGTCTCCATAGTTTCTGGTTTGTTTGACAGTTGCTCTGTTCGAAATCCTGGGACGCGTCATTAGAAGGCCAGATTCGAAGGACGATTACGTCATAGCGTGGCACGGAGGTCTGGTCGGATTCCAAGAGTCCTCGTTATGCAGCCTTAAAATGCGTCCTTCTTTTTGCCTGATTTAAAGGACAGGTCCGATGTATCCTTGGTTTACCCAGCATTCATTGCGAGACCAAGCAAGCCATGATTTGCTCTGTGATCAGAGCAAAGGTTGCTTGGCGCTGAACAGTGGTGAAAATTGGAAGGTCAGTTTAATAAGATACAACTCTGTGAATAGTTCCATCTGATGTGAATGAAAATAGTTGTTTTAATGGTTATTGAGGCAGATATGTGGCGGTAATGTTTGGTTTATCAAAAAGTGTTTATCTGTTACTGTGTAAATGGGTTTGGCTGAAATTTAAGGACAGATTCTAATATATCTGCAGTGTGGGGACTATAAATCTGATAAATTTTTTTATTGCTGTTTTGCACAATATGCTTAACTAAGTATTTTTTGTTGTTGAATATTAGAGATTTTGCAGATATATATTTTTTATACATGCATTATTTAGATTTACTTATATATTTCTACCCCTTTTATAGAATAGAAAATCCCCTTATTGGCCCACAATGGGAAATTTACAGCAGCAGAAAGATTATTAAAAATGGTCACACAAATGTGGACCTTAGAAAAATGTCTAACAATAGGGAAGAGTTAAAATATAAACAATGCAATTCTGTAAAGTGTTTTAACAATATAAAGCTGGAGAATAAATAACCAATATGCAGCTATGGACATTTTTACAGTAATGGATATTTGAAAATAGCAGCGACATCAGATGTGCAAAATGACAGCAGCATGTTATTTAACTGAAGGTTTTTCTATCATTACATTTGATTTTATTTGTTCATGCTCCTGGTGATTGGCACCTTTATTCCACTCTGGATTCTTGTGAGTGTAGTCTTTGTTCACTTTATAATAAAAAATAAATAAATAAGCAAACAGTTTTAAAAACTTCGGTTGTCTTTTTTTTAATTCCTGCTTTGTGTGTCAGCTTTCACGGTTGCTAAGCAACAGAGCATACGGCGGTAAAACCCGTCGAAGGGTAGACCTGTTCGAATTCACAGCCAAAACTCTTCCGGTCTCCTTATTTTCACAGACTCCGAAGGATCCTACGGTGGCCGGGAAGTGCAAACCAACAATACAAAATCTGAAACACTTTTACAAATCTTGAAACAAATTTACATTTCAGCTAGAAGTGCAAACCAACAATACAAAATCTGAAACACTTTTACAAATCTTGAAACAAATTTACATTTCAGAAAACAAATTTACAACAAACGAAACACTTTTACAAATCTCGACCGCGTCCTTGGAGGATGCAGCCCAGGATTTCGAACAGAGCCTTTGTTTTCATTGTTTGGATTCCTGCCTAGTTTCTGGTTTGTTTGGACTTTTTTCATGTTTGATTTTTTTTATTTTTTTATTCCTGCTTCAGCTGTTTATCTGTTAACATTTCATTAAACCAACAACAAACTCACCTCTGCCTCCCGGCTCTGCATTTGGGTCCTCAAACCACAACCAAATCCTGACAGGTACAGCTTTTGCTTCCCTGTGGATAACAAAGCTCCATTGCAGTTTGAGCCACCATTTTAGTGTATTTCTGGAGTTTATTCCCACTTGGCTGTATTTTCATCTCTGAGACAGGGAACCTGTGTCAGCTTCTTGATAAAGATGAATGTGGTGAATTCAGTTATCTACAAGTTTTCTCTAAGACTTGTGAAGGTCAGCAGTTCTCTTCCTTATATCCTGGCTGATTTTATTTGAACAAGTTTTTTATGTTTTGTTTTTTTTTACACTCAAATGTTTCTGTAAATGAAGCTATCAGAAACAGAATCATGTAGGGCTGGGTGATATGGACCTAAATTTCTTTTTTTTTTGGTACTAGCACAATAAAGATACAAGTAATCTTAGCTCCACAGTCATGAATTTTACTCTTAAAAACTACAAATTTGAAATATGCTTCTTTATGACACCTGTTACATAAAGAAATGTGATTTATATCACTAAATATCCCATTGTAACAACATAAAATCATATTTTCCAATGGAGCAAATGAAAGAAATGGAAGAAAAATAGTAGAAATAATTTTTTTGTTTGTTTTTCATGATAAATAATCGTAATTTATCATTTAGACAATAACTCAAAATGCTTATTTTGACTATAGATTCATAACTATAAACAATGGATACCAGCCTTCTGATATAATGTTTTAAAAAAAAAAAAAAACAGAATATGTATCTAGTTTTATTAGTTTGTAAATGTCTGACTGCTCATTGATGAATGCCGAGTTGAAGGGTTTCTCTCACCTTGCACAAAAAAATAAGGGGCATCTTCCACTACATTTTCATACAGCAGCACAATGCAAATAATCTGGAATAGAAACAATTGGATATTTTACAAGCTAACAGAATCTGTACAGACCTATGCTTATTTCAACACAAATCCATCAAACCATTTTGTTTGCTCTGAAGACAGAAACTGGGCCATGCTTTCTCATCTTTCTGAAGAGATTCTAAGAATTGGCTGTCTTCCATTCCTGTTTAAGTTTAAAATGTTCTATTATTTTGTGTGCCAAGAAAACAAGTGGATGTGAAGAGCAGACAGAAAAAAGATTAAGCAGCCACAGGCATTCCTCTTCCTCAACCAAGCACTAAAGGAAAACTGCTAGTGACTTAAAGTCTGTTCTCCAGTCTGCAGCACCTCAGCCTCTCATGGTTCATGTTAGATTGTTTTCTTCTTGGTTTACTGTGGATCTGATGCCCTCTGAAGGGTCCTTATCCTCATCTGCTCGAACGAGTCGAAGTCCTTTCTATCGTCTTTTCTCAAGCATCAGGAGCAGGATGCCTTGAAGAAGAATTTTTGCGCAAATACCACAATCTCTGCTCTTCAATCCAACTTGTATAGCAGCAACACAAATAGTAAGAAATTTGAAGGAAGTCATCTAAATGAATACCAGCAAGATCTTGGCAGATATTTTTGTGTAGGTTGCAAAACATGGAGGAAAGAAAAGAGGAAATAAATAATTTCTTTAAATTATTCTAGGTGTAGAAAATACTAAAATCAAATTCCATGTTTTTTCAAGCTGGTAAAAACCCTGTGCATTCATTTATGGACCATATAATAGTTTTTGTGATCCTCTACTGCAGTCCAAGAATGGTATAAATTTGGACCAACACCAGATAATTATTATAACTTTATTGTACTAAGAATTTTCTTTTCTGATTTAATCTCCCAATTTCTTAAATGGCTAAAATTTGGAATTACTGAGTGCACCACTGGCACCACTTTATTTAAGGTCATGCTGTTTGCTATGCATAGAATAAATATGGAGCCTTCCTGCGCTGGTATGTTTCGCCATGGCCCATATGTACTTGACTTCTAAAGTAGTAATTCTGTAAAAATAGAACTAAGAATGCACTGTAGAGATGGATAGCCCCCTGTATCCAACTGACTTGTTCTCACCCATTCATTAAACTTCACTTAAGACAGTAAATTGTTCAAAGACTGGAAACAGAAAGGTAGGAACCATTTTGTGGTAAGCTTCTCTACAAATGGGGACTAGAAAGCTGATACACAACTATTGAGTACTGTGAAAGAAGTTCAGATGTGTAAACTCAACATGTGAAACTGTGCAGACTAACACTACCAAGACTTGGTTAAGAAATAAAACCTAAAAACAATACTGTGCTGGACATTGTTGCTTCAGAAATGGTTCTATAATTAATGCAGTTAAAAAGCTAATTGCTCACTCTGATTAATAAGACTTTGTAGGGCTGCAATTGCAATTACAGTAAAATCTGAATTCAACAAAACACAATTTACAAATTAAGGAAGCTCTTAATTTTTTTTCTTACATTACATTTCAATCTGAAAAACTCACATGAAGAGAAAAGACAATTAGGAGAAATGTATTGATACAATTACTTTGTTGTTGGTGCTCAGACCTTGGCAGGAAACATAGCGCTGAATTTTGATAGATATGCGTGAACAGGAGCAAAGAATAGGGCTGTTTCCCCCCCAGGCCTGAAACTAGTGGTGGAGTGGAGATAGATGAAGTTGGTCAGTCTGTAGACTGCTGGTTAGTGAGACGGTCTGCTGAGCTTTATGGGGAGATCCAGTGGACTGCGTGAGCTGATACTAGAGCTTCACTCAGGGACCTGGAAGATGGAAGTCCAGCTGGATAACACAGGTTGAGAGAACCTGTCCATGATGAGCAAGCATGGAGCGACAGTGGAGAGGAAAAACTCCCCGTTGGGAAGAAACCTCTGGCAGAACCAGGCTCAACATGGCGGTCTTCTGCCGGACTGGTTAAGATGAGACAGGGGACATAGTAAGAGTTTGGGAGGAATGACACTGATGAAGCTTTAGCTACGATGGTGGAGGAGGGGCTGGAGGTGGGTTGAAATGGGGTCATCTGAATGAAGTCACACAGCGCATCCGCCGCCTGCGCACAGGAGCAGACAGGCGCGTATCGGAGGCCTTTTAAGAGGAACTATGGATGCCGATTGGCTTTCTTGGAGGTGTGGTTCAAAGCTGATTGGCTGTGTCGCAGGTGGATGTAGGAGAGCAATCAGTTTCTTCAGTTTAACTTCTGCATGGGTTCCATTTAACAAGAGTGTCAATAATAAGCTTATAAGTAGAAATAAGTTTATTTTTCACACAAAGGTTACACTAAAGTCCCGAAACAATAGACTCTAGAAAAAAATGTCTTTATGGTCATGAAAAACTCAAACTCTGGAGCGAAACATCTACAACCTTGTGGTTAGTGCAGAGGAAAGTCAGAAAGACAAGATTGGTTGCAAATAAACTTTAGCCCTATATCTTTACATTTAGATGCATCTTTAGCATTTGTTTTTTCTTGCTATTTAAAATAAAATATTTGCTACTATTTGCTTTTTGAATACATGTTGTGTATTAGCGATGTTATGAAATAATGTTAGAAGTACTTTTACAAATTGTTTAAAAGTTGGTTAGGAAGTACTTTTGTAGATTTTAAGGATAGACATAGTTTGTCAGAAAGGATGATTTTTGATTAAAAAAAAATTTATTGAAGATTGGTGATCTTTAGTAATCAATAGACTGACTTATTTACTATAGCTATGTGGATGTCTATCCCTTTAAAGTAGAAATAAACACAGAAATAACTCAACAGTGATGTCAAATGAAAGAGAATTATGTTAAATTAAGCACTTTAAAGCATGTCTCTTCTGTCTTCAGACTGCCTGTGTGCAATGCTGCTTCCTCCTTAACACAGGTCCAGGGGCTCTGAATTTTTGGATAGCGACATCAACACACAACACTGCAGCCTGTGCTGCAACACACAGGGACTGTTTATTTTTATATT